AAGACGAGTATAATAGTCTAGTAACGTTAAAAAAATGGATTTGGATAAGAATATTGAATTTTGGAATGTTTTTGGTTATTTGTAAAAGCAACGACCTACCAAGTGTGAATGTGGAGATGAAGTTGTAGCGTTCTCATCATCATGCCTTTGAACAAAGACTAGAGATAAAGCATAAGGAATTTGTACGCAACAAACTTTCCATTGTTTCACTCTTCTTTTCTTTAAGTTCTAACCATCCTTAAAAACGTTTCCCATTTGTTATAGTTTGTTAGTGTACAACTTTTTTACATCATTCCTGGTTTTTCTTTTGTATTTTGAAAAGAATGCGACTGATGGGTAAGGATGTTTCTGTTGGGACAAGTTACTCAGATATGGTTAGAAAGGGCGAGAGGGTCGTAGCACCGACGCATACTCACCAGAGCTGGCTATGTCAAAGGATAACACTTGGAATTTCAGAAAATTACTCACTGGATAAGAATTGGAACATAACTAAATTGTGTGATACTTCAAAGGATCCATTTCCTTTGTTTTGTGAACCACATATCAGCTTGGCTACTCAAGCAGGAACAGCTTTTGTTCCTGATTCAGAATTTCCTCCCACAATCTTGGATCCGTGTGGTTCACTCGTGTCGTCTTGTCCATTGACTGATAAGGTCAATTAGTGTCTTTCTACGGGTCCAAGTCATCTTCTTGCATAAATGTTGGAAATGCAAAGAAGAGATTAGCATCTGTAGAGGAATGTCCAATGAAGAACCAGAAAATCCCCAAGTTTCCAATGCAAGGTGGCTTAAATTCTGAGAAAGAGTTCTTTGCNGGCCACCAAATTAGGTAATAAGAAACAAAAAAATCAAATGTTCGTTTAACTTTGGTACGATATGCAAATGTCCTCATTTGGTAGACTTTTGATTCTATTCCATCTCTCACTCAATTAACTGAAATAGAGTTTTCGACCACAAAATNTACAAACAGAGAAAAGGTAAATTACCTCAAGCAATCTAACAGTTAACAATTACCACAAAACTATTAGCCCATTCTAACAACAAATTTTCGTAAATTTCTCCTCCGGCCGGTTATGTAATTAAAAAGTTTCAAAAGTTTTTTCAAAACTTTTTGCTTCTATGTTTTGCAACACAATTTTTTTGCCTCCAATCGTTAAACAACATAAACTTCTTGTCTCTTACTAATTTTCCGAATGAAATCAATTTCTTTAATTACGTTTCATTATTCGGCAATAGCGTTTATGAAACAGTGTTTAGCTTGATCTAAAGAAAAATAGCAATCATATTATATTTGAACTCAACTCGAAAATAAGACTTTCTATAATCAAACCTCAAAAATCGATTTGGAGAAGACAAAAATTTGAAAATTTAGTTCCAT